TCCACGGCTTTCCCGCCATGTAAAGCCGCCATCTTCCCTTCTTTGCAGCTGTTGGAATTTAAGCAACAGGATTTAAAAGTTTAATGGAATATTAACAACATTCAAGTTAGCTAGCATTTATTCTTTTTATTTAAGTTAAAAAACAGAAAGTTTTTTTATTTGGTCCGCCATTGTTTGTTCAAATATAATCATATTATACACTAATAACTGAATCACTCACCTGTTTTCGTGATTCAAGCTTCAGGGGTTACTTCCCGTCCCTATTTGGAGGAAATATCGCGAGAAAAATCCAGTCCGCATTTTCGGATTCTCCATACGTGTGTTGGGGATTATGCTACGTTCAAGGTGTTTCGGACAAAGCAGTGTTCTAACTTAAATCATTTCGTCCTTCGCTGCTTGGACATATAAAGTGGAATAATCTTTGCAGTTTTTTATTTTCTGTTAACTAAAAATAACTGTTGCTCAGTTATGCGGTTCTATTTAAGCTTAGAAAGGAGGAAAATTGATTACTTTAAACTTTATTTTGTTTATTTGACTTATTACAGAGAAAGAAAACTTTTTTAAGGAGGGGGAGGTGGTTTTATTGGTTTAAAAGTGGTTGAATGTGTGGCTAACAGACTGTTTGAATGCACCACTTGGGTGTGCGCCTCTATTTACAGTATTTCTGTTTTTTTATTTTACTTTCTGAGACAGGAAAGCCGGGTTTCCGGCCTCGCATGAACGCATCCTTTTCCTTTGTGTTTCAAACTCTCCTCTGAGAGCACAAGTGGCTCCAAGAAGCGCGTTTATCCGCTCAGCCTGCCGCTTCCTGATGTCTGCGGGGGCGCGAGCCGAGCTGTCGGCTGACGGCTGGCTCTTCCAGCACTTCCCCATCCACCGCGCGTGCCGCGATGGAGACCTGGTGGCTTTGATGTCCTTAGTGGAGTCAAACCGGGCTCATCTGAGCGCAGAGGACTCCTGTTATGGATGGACGCCCATTCACTGGGCTGCTCACTACGGACAGGTACTCACTACTAACTCCACTGACACCATTACAATCATTTATATGATCAGGCATTTATTTATATATGTGGCGCAAAGCAGCTGCGCCAGGATTTAACTTTAGTTCAAAAGAAAAACACGTGTTTTTAGGAGTTTAATGTGAGGATTATCCCGCTCTGTTCACTGCTGCTCGGTCGCTTTCAATAAAGTTTTTCTTTTTTTTTTAAACAACATTTAAGCCGAGCTGCTTTCTAATTGGTTCCCGCTGAGCCAATCGCTGCTCTGGCGCGAAGCCGGAACCCGGAAGTGCTGATTGTTTGTTTTTATTTTAAAACGTAGCTGGATTCTGACCTCTAGTTATTCACTGGTTGGCCGGCCGCCATATTGGTACTCCCTAGTTAGTCCGGTCACAGTGTAAGCAATCCGTTCAGGGGGAGTTAAGACTTTAATCTCAGAAATCTGACTTTAATCTAAGACTTTTAAAATAAAGATAAATTCATTACTTTGACTCCGACTGGCTGTTTCACAGCATTAATAGAAAATAACTTTAACTTATTATAAATAAAATAGGCCCATCACATTGCAGAGTCATTATGAAGTCTATAAATCATGTAATATAACATGTTATACAAACCATCACAATAAAATGAATGTGTTAATGGAGCAGAATAAACATATTTATTACATATGATTTCAATCTCTTACATCAGGATTGAATCACAGGTCTGTTAAAGATGTGGTATTTTCCTATTGTCTGCAGACAGCCAGTCATGCTCTACTGCAGGAGGCATCCATGCCTATATATTGATTTCCTTTAAAAGTTCATCCACTGACTGTGAAATTACCAGTGGAACGTTTTCCCACTGCCAGAAACCAGCTGCACAGGGAGGCATTTTACTGCACGTCTCCCTGGGAGTGGGGAGTACCAAGATGGCGGACAGTGGCTTCACTTTTTTTTAGGAATTACAGTGAATGAATAAAGATCAGTGGATTGATGTCATTTATACAGAACAGGATTAGGGTCACTAAAAAAAAAAAAAAGTTCTTTTTTTACATTTTATTTTAGGATAAAATGGGAAAAAGTCCGAATTCTGACTTTAATCTCAGAATTCTGGCCATGAAAGAAGAGATTGCAGTACGGAAGAAGATTAGAGCCACAAAAAAAAAAGAAACTGAACCGATTTTTACATTTTATTTCAGTTTAATATGAGTAAAAGTAATTCTTAGGTTAAAGTCAGAATACTGACTTTTTTCCCCATATTCTACTGAAATGAAATTAGAAAATAAATTAGCTTTTTTTTTTTTGTAGCCTTTATCCTCTTCCATACATTTTGATCTAATTAAGTCGTTTAAAATTAAATACCTGATCCCCTGAGTTATATTTCTAACATGTAGTGTTTTATCTCTTCTATAGAAACCTAGAAAATATTTATTTTTGTGACTTTATTCCCTATTTTAATCATTTGCTGGTGTCTTTTTTTTTCACTTAATGTCAACAATAACATATAAATTTGTACAAATCCATACGGAAGAGGATTAGAGCCACTGAAAAATAAAATATATTTAAATATTATTTCAGTTAAACATAGGAAAATAGTCAGAATTCTGACTTTGATCCCATAATATTTTTTTTTTACATATTAAAGTAAAATAAAATGTAAAAATCATTTTTTTTTTCCAGTGGCCCAAATCGCCTTCCATAAATCCGCATTTCTTCTACGCCATTAAATGGTTTAGAATTTTTGTAGATTTCCTGATGTCTTTGCTTCCTGTCAGTGTTTATGTTAAATGGAAATAGAAATAAAATAAATTAGATTTTACCGCAGCGTTTAGATCATGTTGATAAAACATCAAATTAAAAAAAAACCACCTTGATTATAAAATAAAGAATCACAGCATTAATGAAAAGTTTTTATTAGAATCCATATTTTATTTCCCATAAACCGGAGTTGTTTGGTTTCTGCACATTAAGTTGCTAAAGAAGCTAGGCTAGCTGCAGCTAGCAGGTTCAAAGGTCAGATGTCGATCCACAGCTGGAGTGCGTGGTCCACCTGGTGCAGAGGGGCTGCGAGGTGAACACGGTGACCAGCCGCTTCAACCAGACGCCCACGCACACCGCCGCCTTCGGAGGACACCCCCACTGCGTGGTGTGGCTCACCCAGGCCGGCGCCGACATCAACAAACAGGTGCGTCCCATGCCGGCGCGGCGCGGCGGTTAATGCCGGTTCCGATGGCGTTCCCGTCCACTTCCTCCTCTCTCCGTTCTGTCTGCTTCTCAGGACTGCGTCGGCGAGGCTCCCATCCACAAGGCGGCGCGCTGTGGCAGCGTGGAGTGCATCCAGGTGCTGCTGATAGCCGGAGCAGAGCCACGGTGAGTGGGCGGGGCATGCGGCGGTGGGAGGGTCCGGGAAGCGGCGGATTCTCAGCCAGATGGAACCGGTTCAGAGGAGGATGAAAAAGATCATTTATTCAACTAAAGCCTTGTTCTAGCAGCTGGAGGCGCGTTAGCATCGCTAAAAACAGACGACGTAAAAACAGCTGATTGGAACGGAACCACATCGCATTCGCCACGGAAAATAAATCAGTTTGTCTCATTATTACCAGATAAAATCTTGTAACCATCGGTTTTTAGATTTCCGGCCCGAAGCTGGATTTCCAGCCCGTGGCGATTACCTGTGGCGTAAAAAAATACATCAAATGGAAATCCCTCTTTGGTTTGCCAGCCAATGGTAGCAAAGGAGTGCTCTGAAACTATCAGTACTAGCCAATCAGAAGGAGAAGGGGGCGGGCCTTAGGACAGCATGGTTTCTTGCTCATGTCTCCAGATAGATGTGGGTTCAGTGCTGAAGGGAAAGTCGCCTGGCGTCGTTTACGGCTCCATTCAACCGAGAGACGACTTAAAAGTCAGAAAATAAATAAATGAAACTCTGTGTTTGGAGAGAAGGACGATGGAGCGAACGGAATGGCGTGGAGCGGGAACCATGCAGGTCATGAACTCCGGGGAAGACGTCACCACCATAGATGGAGGTCTGAACAATAAATGGCGCTGGGCGCGGCTGAGGAGACGGGGCCAGATGGCGTTTAGCAGCTGGAGCAGGAAGTTAGGTCAGCCAGGCGCTTCCTTCTCCACGCTGCGCTCCAGGAACGCATCACCAACATCAAAGGAATGTGGTTCAAGCCAGCGGTAGATATAGATGCACTTCCGCCATCTTCTTTATGGTATAACCACTTCCTGACTTGGTCACATGGTACGGCGGGTAGAGAGGCTTCATTTGGCTCCTCCCACTCCACTACCCGACACGCCTCATGGCCTCGGCTCATCGCATCGCTGCAAACCGCCGGAAATCAACTAATGAACTGAAACAATCTGAACAAATGGCCAGAAAACAGGGAAATAAATCAGAAAAATTTCTTATAAATTAAAAGTTTAAGGTTTTCTTTCTGGATTTCATTATTTTATTCTTTAATTTCCATTTTCAAACTTTGCTTTTTTACTTGAATCAAAAATAAAAACAAAGGTTTTTGGTTTATTAAGGTGGAATGAAATGTAATGGAAATGAGTGCCTGGAGGCGATGATGATGATGATGATGATGATGATGCGTTTGTGTTCCGTTCTGTTTACGTAAAAGCCGCGCTGCATTCGGAATCCACGTTTGCTAACGAATTAGAAGTCTTTTCCTTTTTGTTTTATTCTTACAAAATAAAAGCATGAGGATGCGTGAAACGATCTGCGATTGGTTGAAATGATCTTAAGGCGGAACGCTGCGTTCTGTTCCAGTTTAAGGAACGCCAGCGGACAGACGGCGGCGGACTTAGCCAAAGCTAACGGCTTCCACGACTGCTTCGGCGCCATCGCCCAGACGCAGCTGTGCCGGCTCGCCGTGCTCAGAGACGTCGCCCCCTGTGGCGAGGGGCAGCACTGCAGGAAGAGGCCGCTGGTCGCCAAGGAGACGGCCTCCATGAAGAAGGCCAGGAGAGCAGAAGGTAGGTCGCAAAAGTTCAGGTTTCGGGTGTTAATATTGTGAACATTCTGAAAAAAGGCGGTTCTGTTGGACCTTTTGCAGCGTTGTTGCCGAGCGGCGGCGGCGGCGTGGAGGAGCTGGGGGCCGTGAACATGGAGCTCAGCTCAGGTGAGTCCAGAACAGAGGCGGTTCTGATCCAACATGGCGGGTTTTTCCTCACGTTTTCTGCTTCCATTTCTCCAGATTCCGATCCAAACACCGAAGAGCCCCGCCCACCCTCCGACGCCGAACCAGACGAGCCCCGCCTCTCTCTGCCCAGCGCCGCCGATATGTGCGGCTCGCTGCACCTCGCCGGAGGTTCCGGTTCGGGCCGGCCGGAGCACTGGCGGCTGACCGGCGCCGACTCCCTGCTTTACGGACACTACCACGGCTTCGGGGACACGGCAGAGGACCTGAGCGACAGCGGCGTCCACCTCTACCACGGCTCGTAGCCCCGGGCGGATCGGACCTGAGGAGAACTCCGAGCCTCCTCCCTTTGGTTTCATCGGTCCGATCAAACCAGGCCCGCACTCTGAGAGGAGGCCACAGCGGAGCACGGTGGTGGCGGCGTCATGGTCTGTGGGTGACTGTGCATCCAGAAAAGGTGACAGCCTGGAGTTTACCGAACGGAAGTCCAGAACTGGATGTTTTCTACGGAGTGAATTTAGTCACGCTTTTTTTTTTTTTTTCAAGCAAAAAATTTGTACATTAGAATGAGAAAAAAAAAACGCAAAAACAATTTTTTTTCTCCGTATAATGAATATTTAGGGGAAAAAATGTAGAAAATGTTTTTTTTTTGTTTTTTTGAAAAGTTTCATTTCTTGATCACTTTTTTTTGGTTGTCAGAATAATGGCCCTAAATTCACTCCATAAATTCTGCTCCAATGGCAGGAGAGACTCAAACCAAACATGACTGATCCAGGTTCCCCACAGCATGATGCTGCCGCCGCCGTGCCTCACAGCTGATGCTCGGTGTTTCATAGCCATGGTGCTGGGGGGGTGTGGGTGTTAGCACGGTTCCACCAGTAGGTGGCGGTAGAGCTCAGAGGATCAGAGCAGATGATGAGATGCTGCCAATGATTGGCTGGGTCTGAATGCGGTTACCATGGTTACCATGCAGCCTGGAAAGTCTGGATCTGGATTCAGTTTCTTCCAGGTCTGGAAAAAAGGAAAATTTAATATTTCTGTTTAATTTTTTTTTATTCTCCGTCCTGTTCTGTCCCTCCTTCCCTACTCGCGTCCTTTCCTTCTCCTTGTCTCCTTTCCTTCCTTTCCTTATTTTCATTCCTTTAGATGGTTTTACTCTCTGTTCATGTTGTTCTTTCCTTCTCCTACCCTTGTGTCCTCCCTTCCTTCCTTCCTTCTTCCCTCCAGGCTGCGTTCTGAAGCAGCGTCCAGTAGGTCTGATGCCCCCCCCTCCAGATCGGACCTTTCTCTCCTGTTTTGCACTATGCAGTCGTCCAGCTGCTCCCAGGAACCAAAGGGAACGTTTATTATGGAGCCACAGCTGCCTTACCGCGCCTGCTTTTCTACGTTCTGACTCCTGTTAATAAAACCTGTTTCACTCAAACGTCTCGCATCCGTCCATTTATTTCTGTATGTCAGGTGGCGGCCATGTTGGCTGTCTCGCTGCTCTGCACTGGTGGCAAAGCCACTCCTGAAAGCTTTCCAAAGGTCCAAACGCAGCAGATCCTAAAGATCGTTATGTTTAGAAATATATTAACTATAATTTAATCAATAAATAGGTTTTTATTCATGACATAAGTTATTGATATAAAGGTAAATGTGTTTTTATATTAAATCAAAAGTTATCAGAGAGTAAATACATTAAATGGCCGTTAAAAATAATAAACTCCCAAAAATTATATACTTAAAAAAAAAAACTCTAAAAAATATAGATTTTTTTAATAATTTGGAGATATCTATTATTGAATATTGACATTTAGTGATTTAATTCTGCATTTTATGGTTTAACACTAAAAAATTGATTAGATCAATTAATGCAACATCAACATTTTTATGGCCTATTGAGTTTGTTCTGGAATGATGCGTTTAGGGCCCGTCGTTCATCCCTGTTTTAAAGGATAATCCAGTCCAGATGGACCTCCCGTAATCTAAAGATCTGGTTTTTTTGGTTCAGAGAAACGAGGATCCATGTTTGGGTTCGAGTCGCCAAATAAACGATGAAAACATCCGATTATAATTAAACGCCTTTAATAGAATATAATATAAAAGCAGCAGGACGGCGTCCCAGCAGCCTCCCAAAGGTCACTTCCTGAGGTCCAGCTGGATGGTTCTCTGCAGGCTGGCTATGCTGGCGTCCAGAGCTGCCAGGCCGTCCCTGAACGCCGCCTCGTCTCTGGTGTTGAAGCTGGACTCGGACCTCCTGCTCCAGTTGGACCAGGACTCTGGCGCCTCCGACCCGGTTCCGTCTCGCTCCGCAGCCATTCGGAGGTTCCGAGGCTCCGCCTGGGTCAGCGACGCCAGGTACCGCTGGATGTGTTCGCTGGAGGCCGCGGCTGGGGAGAACCGCGGAGAGTTCTGATGGTCCGACGGGCCGCGGGCCGGAAGGAGCCTGAAACACAGAGAGAAGGATCCGGAACGCTGCATTGAAAGGGTTCTGATCCAGAATTCACACCAGAACCGCCTTCCCTCTCTAGAAGAGAGGATTTCAGAGCCGTTAGCGTCTAAAGGAGGATTAAAAAGGTCGACATCGATCCCTGATATGAATGAAATAACGGCGGATAGCGTGATGCTAATTAAACGTAGAAGATCAAACCAAACAGGAAGCTAATATGTTGCTAAATACAAAGATGATCAATAAAATACATAGAAAATGTATCATTAGATGGGAGTATTTCACTAGCACACTGTTAGCCACCGCTGTTAGCTAGCTTAGTTAGCTCTGTTTTCAGAGGAATTTGTTCTGTTAGCATTTTAAATAGCTGGTTCTGGTTGCGATCAGAGCCGTGGCGCCTCTAGAAATGTTTCATGGGGGAATAAAAGATGGGGCCGCTAAAAATGTGAAACTAAAAGCCATAACTTCGTATCTACTATAGCGGTAAACCTTCCTGGCTGTGCAGAATGGGAGGAAATGCTAAACTGGTGGCCAGTGGTGCTAGCTAGCATGTCTTCTATTCTGATCCCAAATCTAGCTTTTTATTTCTGAGTTAAAAGCACCGAACTCTGTCCGCCTGAGAGAGTGGATCTGAAGCCCTTCCATTTTAGCCGGGCATGCACTGGAGGATTTTTTGCTCTTTTCAGGCTGATTTTCCAGGCTGGTACAGGCGCTAACGAGGGGTGATCAGCCTCTGATAACCATCTCCCTCAGGAATCATGAGAAAATCAAAGGAATAAAAAATATGGAGCGAATCAGAATCTCCTGCAGTCAGATGACATCAAAAACCCAAACCTGATTTCATAAAGATAAATGCTGAGGACGATCGCATTCCATCAGACATCCCATTCTCATAGAAAGTGAATTCTCTGAAGCCGTTGCTAAGGAAACAGGCAGACCCACCTCCTCAGTTCCTCCACTTCCTGCAGTCTCTGCTGGGCGAGCGAGGCCAGCTCGCTCCGCTCTCGCTCGCTCTCCAGCAGCCGCTTTCTGGCAGCCTCCAGCTCTGCGGACAGACGGACTGATTACCGTTTACTATAACAATGTACCGTTTATTCACTAGAGAAAATGGCCGCCCGTTCGCTGATTGATCAGACGGATACAGAACGCGATAGAACCCAACCTATCCCATGATTCATTGCAGGTGGAGGCAGATTAACCCTTTAAAGCCAAGCGCATCATATCTGATACATGAGCTGCTGAGAACGCCGCATCATCAGCGCAATATTTTTGTTCGTGAAAAACCCCGATTCACACAATCAGATACGGTTAGTGAGCAGAAAGCGCATTCAATATTATACAGAAACGCCCAATGTTTCAAAATGGATGCAAGTAAAGGATCTAATTTAACTCTAAGTTGTCAGGAAGTTTAATGATGACTCTAATTTTATTTTTTAAATGTAATTTTCAGGCTTTAACGGGTTAAATTGTGATAAAAACAAAAAAACAAAAGCAGAATGACTTTTCCAGATGATTCTAAGGAAGCCGCTGGTTTTATTTTCCCACAGTCTCAGTCACATGGTTTAAATTAAAATAATGGCAGTTTTTGTGTATTTTCTACCGTTTATTGACTAAAGAAAATGGCCGCCTATCTGCTGATTGATCGGAGGGATTCAGAAATCGATAACCTGCCTCTAGATGTACGATGCATCCTGTGGCCTGCCCTATCCCATGATTCTTTGCGGGTGGATCCAGATAAAACTGGGATTAAAAATCAATGAATTAGGCTTCTTGTTTTTTTTCCAGATGTTTCTAAAGCAGCTGCTGTTTTCAGTTTCTGCTCGTTTCCCACAGTCTCAGTCACACGGTGTCTCTTTATAGCGGGTTTATTAAAATAATGACAATTTTTCTTTATTTTCTACCGTTTATTGACTCAAGAAAATGGCCGCTGATCGGCCTGATTCAGAAATCCATAAAGTGGAGGCCTAGAAATACAATAGTGTAGAATGTGATAAAGTTCAAATTGATAGGTAGAATTATCTCATTGGGGAAGCGTTTATCTGATTTATTATTGGGTTAGTACAATTCATTTGGTTTATGACCAAATATGGGCTCAAACTACTTCTTATTTTTTTGTATTTGATACATTTCTGTCATGGTAATACTCCTTTAAGAGGACATGATGGGGGAAGAATGATGATCTGTTTATATTTAACAAAAAGAGAAAACTATAAATATGCTGTATGCTCAAAGCCTGGATTTAATTTAATAAAGTTGCACAAAAGCAAATATCTGTTTTTTTTAGTTCTTTTAAAGGGTGCAACAATAACTTGTATTCTTGAGGTATGATGACTGCGGCGGCCAACACTATCCCATAATTCATTGTGGGTAGAAGCAGGTTAAACTGGGATTAAAATGAATTACGCTTCCTGTTTTTTTCCGAATGTTTCTAAAGCAGCTGCTGGTTTTGTTTCTACTCCTTTCCCACAGTCTCAGTCACTTGGTTTCTCTTTCTAGCAGGTTTAAATAACAGGAAGTAGATCTTTGCCTGGTGGAGCTCGTCATTTTCTACCTTTTTCATTAGGAAACATGATGTGGAAGCTGAGCTTCTGGACCAGAACCGAGCCTGAGATCCGGTTCTAATGACTGATTAATGT